TTCGAGGGTCGTGAGGGTCACCCGCGGGTCACTGCCAGGTCTATTTCTAAGAGTAGACTGATAATAGCACTATTACTTTAATAATTACCTCTATAGCGCGCGGCTTAAACTATCTCTCTAATATAGCGAACTAGCTTAACTATAGAGAGTGGATACTTAAATCCTATCTCTCTTTATCTAATAGCTCTACGCTATACTATCGTACTACTATCTCTTATAGGTATAATAGTAGGTTTACGCGGACTACTTCTTTAGATTTTAATAGGATTAATACCTTTAGCTAGTTAATAAATATATAAATATTTATATAGTATATAGTTCCCTAAAGAGTATAAATATATATATCTAATATAGGGTTAGGTATAAAGTAACCTATATTATCTATCTTCTAGTATATAATATTATATAATATATCCTATCTATCTTAGCCTAGTAGCCTATAAATATTATTATAATATACTATAATAACTTTATTAACTATTACTCGAATATTATTAGCCTTGTATATATAGGCTTAGGTAAGTATATTATTAAGGATCTTATATAGCTTAGCCCTTAATAAGGTGATATTAGATAAAGGTCCCTATAAGATATCCTACTATATATCTTATATTAGTACTAGTAGGGTAGTAAGCTAAAGGAGGGTATATTCCGATTTACCTAGTAGGATCTTACTAGAGAGGTTACTTAAGCCTTTAAGTAGGTCTATAAAAAGGGGAAAGGTTCCTAGTATTAAAGTAATAGGACTTATATATAGCTAGTATTCCTACTAATATAGTTATACCTAGTGTAATTTAGGTTCCTTTAGATATTATATCTAATACTACTCTTTAGGAGGCTATACTTGGTAGGACCCTAAGGGCTCTCCTAGATACTATATCTAGTAAGGCTTATCTTAATATTAATAGTACTATATAGGGATCTTTAAGATAAGCTTCTAAAACTCTTATATAGCCTATCCTAGTTCCTTTTATAGTAACTAATCGGCTAGGTATAAGTTCTCCTTTAGAAGATAGGGTATTTTATAAGTATCTATAATAAAGAGGATATTATCTATAAGCTTAGAAGTCTAGAGCTCTTAGTATAAATTTTTTAGATTATTAAAGTATATAAGTAGCTAATACCTAAGGAGGATATAGCTCTTAAGTTACTTCTTAGTAAGTAATATCGGATATTACCCTAATACAATAAGTATAGATAAACGTTACTTTAATATAATAACTATATATCCTTAAGGATAAAAAGAGTAAGAAGTAATAGATAGGCGATATAGGGTTAGAATAAGCTCCTAGGTTAGGTAACCGGATAGTTAGGGAGAGAGCGATAGTCTAGAAAAGGAGCGAGTTCCTACAGTTAGGTAACTGAGCTTATGATCCCCGCGTGTAGAGGAAATGACTACGCGCGAGCGATAGGCCCGCGGTTTATTATAACGTAGGTAGTGTAAGATATAACTGTATATAATCCGGAGCGCTCGCCGGAGCGCCGTTACGTTTGACGTAACCCGAAAAAATTTTTCGGTAAAAACGATAGGGGGTCAAGGGGGGAGGGCGTAGGTAATCTAAACCCTTTAGCCGCTGGTAACCTAGGGGCTTAGCGACCGGAGAATTCGGTAACCGTATGGTATGCCTAACCAGAGAACCTCTGGCTTTAGCAGGATATGCTACCAATATATTATGGAATAAGCCTGGTTGTGGTAAAGATGCTTGTATTGCTATGGAATTACTGCGTAGGATAAGCTACGCTGCTTAATAATACATCCGTCATCCATCCCCTGAGGGCCAGGCCCTCACAGACTCCATGCATTTGCCCCTCTTAGGTCTCCCGGTGATGTCATTTGCGATACTCTGAGGAACCCATATCACTTATCTCTTGCAAATCTCACCGTATCGAAGGGAAAATGGCGGTTACCGCCCGTCCTACCCTGGTATGTCTAATTATTGCTCTTGATAAAATTACCGTGACCCAGTACTCATATTTTGATGTCGCAGGAACAAATCAACGATGGCCCCAACGACCAGCCAGCTAATGACGGGCACCTATTTCCACCCACAGGGCAATTGTCGTTCCTCGAGAGATTACCCGCTGAGATCATTCAAGATATTGCGTCTTATCTCTCAGCTCAAGATCTCGGCTGCCTGGGTGCCACTTCCCAGGCCCTCGTCGATCATGCATCGAATGACTTGCTCTGGGCCAAACTGGTGAATGAGAGACTACCTGCTCCTATCCAAAGTTCAGGTCCCTTTGGGTCATTTCGCCGTCTCTATCTTGCATATCACCCTTGTTGGTTCATTCCTCAGCACAAGGTCTGGGTCGCAGACAATGAACATACGGGGATGCTGATCATAGCTCGATATGATAATCTTCGGGGTGTGATTGAAGCATACCAGGTCGTTGCAGCACGTGGCACTCCTGAATTTCAAACATGGATATCACATCCGGAAGTTATTATTCAGTCCTTTGAACCTAATGTACATCTGGACATGGGTGATGATCCTGTCCTGTCTCTCAACGACCCTAATCCGTCCTCCCGAACAGCCCCAATCCAATCCTTACAATCAATGAAAGAGAAACGACAGATGTCCATGGCTTCGCATGTCCAGCATATCTACAAACCACTGTCGTTTTGCTCTGAATTAAGCCCCCAAGGACCTTGGGTTAACCCCGATGTGCTTTGGCCGCCACAAACCATCCCGAGTAATGCACGCACAGTTCGTGATTTGGAGGACTCTCCCCCCCCAATACTGAATCATTCGTCGGAATTGTCAGAATCATTCTTCCGTGTCAGGAAGTGGGTAAACCCAGGGCTTATGTTTTCACATCCACCAAAGCAAGCGAATCTAACTTGCTCAACTCTCGATCCTGTCCTTTACACTCCCACTCCTGAAAAACCTTACCAGGGCATTTGGATTGGAGACTACTCAGCCCATGGGTGTGAATTCCTGCTTGTTCTTCAGAAAGATACAACGACTGTAGCACACGGTGATGAAAACGAGTCGCAGATAATGGACACGCAAAACGAGGTCGAATACGGCGACCAAGAAAATATCGAAGATATTGGACAGCGAGGTCAGTTGCAAGCTGTCAAACTGACCGGTGACCCCAATGTTCCTCGTGGCCAGTTCTCGTTTGTTGCCGAAGATATTGGCTCCAGAGGCTTGATTAGTGTCGAGATGGAAGAGCCTTTTGTCGGCGCCCGAAGTGTTCGTTGCCGCGGTCATGTAGCTGGACTTGGGTTCCATGACGGTGAGCAGCCTTACTAAACAAACGAAAACGAACTTTTCTAACATATAATTTGTTAGACACCTACATTGACTCCCAACTGATCCTTATTTCTCCTGACCACATGGCTCATTACTGGAGGGAAATGGGCCATGTCTCCTATTACCACCGTGTGGACATTGACGCTCTACTACGTACATGTGAGGCTCATATGTAATTGACTGGCGTGTTTTTGTTGTTTTTTGTTAATTTTTTTACTTATTACATACCCCTCCTGTTTTGACCGATTTTTACGTTTATTGAGTCATTCAAGTTGTGACATCGATTATTGGACTATCCCAATATTTTGGGAGAACATTGCAGCAGCAACACCTTTGTTTTCTCAAGCGTGCTACTAAACTTGAGTCCTTTGAGGGGAAAAATTCCTTTAGTGCATATATCCTCTTACGTATTCACTTCGTGGACCTCAGGACTCGTGAAACTTGTAGATTTTCAGCAATTATGCCCGAGGTATTAAGCAATTAAGATACTACTAGTATTCAGATACGTTTTATTGCCAAACAAGCAACAATGGTATAGGTAGACTGGAGAGAGATGTGTTATTTAAAACCTTGGAAGGTCCCTCTAGCTTTTACAGAATGATGGATTTGCCGCTGAATTATCGCAGTTTCAAGATCTACCCGAGTGCAGCTATCCAAGCAAACAACAAGCACCCCAAGGCCTAGCGGAAGCGAGAGTTTAAACGGCCCCGGACTTCATTGTTTGTCAAGCGCGTATTGAGAGCCTCCCGCAGTTCCTCGGGCGTCAGTGTTGCCACACGATGTGGACGCACATCCTTCTGGGTCCAATATAGCTTCGCGGGGAGGGACAACAGCTCTCTTTTAGGGATCCGTGAGAGTCTAGCAAGATTGATATTCAATTTATTTTGCCCGAGCTAATGCAGGATGGTCAGAATATCAGTGAGGTCGGCGCGCGTTCTCTGGCGATAGGCTTGTCTTGTCGCCATCCCAGCCGTGCTCCAGCACTTGAGTTTCGTCAGGGCCGATACAGAGGATGTAAGAACTTACTGAACGTGTTCAACCGGCGCCCTGGATGATATTCAGTATTGATTTTGTAGACCCCCGTTGTTCTAGGTGTGTCATGATCGGTTCCGCGTGCCCATGATATCGAGTCTCGACGTAGACTTTTATCCCGCGGTAATCATAGGCCAGTCTTCCAACACCGCTGCGGTTGAACCCTGCTCTTTCCAGTAGTAGTAGTTCACGGCAGTCGTTGTTAGAGACAAAATCGACATTCTGTATATTTATCAGACCGTAAGGCCCTTTGAGACTAAGGGATGTTAGGGGAAATGTGTACCTAGGTGACTCTGTGGCATAGTCAGTTGTCATGTTAATTGCTCTCTATCTTTTACCAAACTGGGATGTTCTCATTTCTCGCATTCTTGAACTATGTGGGCAAGACTATCCAACTAAGTATTTAGTTGGCTAGGAGGCTAGTCACTCTCCGAGGCAACTCACCCCACTTTACCTTGTTCCATCTGATGTCAGGGCATCGCACATCTCATCTGCCGACATGGTCAATGAAAGGTACGGCCGTGCCCGCTGCTCTGCCCGGTACAGTGTTCCCACGAGTTTCATCAGCTTGCCCCTAGGAATATCAGGCAAGCCCAGAGAAATCGATACGGGACTTTTTGTCAGCGAGCCATTGTAAAATGGTTCGGATATCCATGAAGCCAGTCCGGGACCTCGTGTATTGGGCGGCTCGTGTGGCTTGGTCAGCCTCTTTCCAGGGCAAGAGCTTTGTCAACAGCAGAATTGACGGGTGTAAAATTGGGACTATGATCCAAGATTAGTTAAGAGTCTAAATTCGCCGAGCAAGAAAACGCACTCATAGAGATTAACTGACGCCGCGGACAGTCCGTCGGAGCCACAGTGTAAACCTTGGTGGTCCTAGGATTTGGGACCCATGGTGCAGTTCCCATGACCTCCATATCGATGTGAACTTTAGTGCCATGGTGATGGTAGACCAATCGGTTATCCCTGCTCTCCGTGATGTTCGGGTATTGTAGCAGAAGCTTGCGGCAATTTTTCTCCACGATAAGGTCGATGTCCTATGGGTTTGTCAGATCAGGAGTCCTCTTTGAGGCAACCGAAATCAGAAGAACATGGTACCTCTGTCACTCGACCTTCTCCTCCTCCAAGGAGACCTGTAGCATATCCGCCTATGAAGATGTGGGAAATTCTCTCACAACGCAAGATATTTGTCAAGGTTGTTGCTGCTGCGTGTAAATGGATGAAATCGCTTTGAGAAGGCATGATAGCGGTTGTTGGAGAGGAAGAGAAGAGAAGGAGAAGAAGAGAAATGAACTGGTATTTGAAGGAACCAGCAAGATGATGATGAGGCAAACAAATAAATCAAAATGATTGTTCTTCAGCTCAGAAGCGAAGATAGTCGTCACCTCTTCTTGTCACCTCTTCTTGTCACTTCTTCTCACTTCTGTCCTACTCCTTCCCACTACGCCCTCACTCTTTTGAAAACTAACGCCCTGTGCCAGTTTTCTCAATTGCCTATTCATCCAATATTGGACCGTTTTACAATCATCAATTATCAATGATGGAGACCGAAGAGATCAAAAGGCTCGCAGCCCCCCCTCATGGCTCGCCCAGTATTGAGGCAACGCCAACCTTTCCTGAGGAGATCGAAGGACTCGCAGTCCCCCTTCCTGCCTCGCCTGCCATTGAGCCGATGCCAACTTCTCTCGAGCGGGGCAATCCAGCTTTAGTCCCGCTTTCACCCTCGCTTGTCATCGAGCCGATGTCATGGTCTCAACCTAACCCAGGCTTCTCGGAAGAAGCAAGTCAACAGACCAAGAAATCAGACTCACAGCTTGTCAACCTGATACCGCACCAAGAATTTCCCGATTCTGGGATGAAGGAAGCTTTGAAAGTACTTATCGAGAACACCATCTCTGTTGTGGAGTACGGGCACCAGGTTCTATACAGATGTGGATATGCAGAGGCTCTGATTGTAAGTGATGAAAGCTTCCTCTCCACTACCTCAAATAAAACATCCAGCTGACAGTATTTCAACAGGTCGTAGAGTGGGTTGTGCCCGATAAACAGCTGTTGTTTGCTTCACAGATGTTGCTCGAAAACAACTGGCCCCGCCTCCTTTACTACGAGAGAGATTGGAATGGTAAACCTAGAGCCCCTGAATACTGGGAAGCTCAATACCTGATACACGCACTTGATGACGAGGGCTGGATGCGTGTCCATCTTATCCCTCTGTCATTGGTTGGTTTCACTCTTGAGGACACTGTCGAGGTTCCCTCGACATTTGCCGATGAGCTCCACCTCCTCACCCCCAAACCTCCCCATTACATGTCATCCTTGATACGTCATCTCTTGCAACTCCCCATTGATCACGATAGCCGAGTTCGAGTCGAGAAAGACCTTATGGGGTTTATTTCTGCTTACATTCTCAAAGATGGACCCGCCAATACGACTATGTGGACATATCTCAATGGCCAGGAGAGCGATGAGGATTACCAGAAAAGGGTTGAAGAAGGGGTCCGATTCATGAAGACATGGGACTGGGGCAAGATTGAGGAAAGATACCTGGCCATAGCTGAATGTGCGGTCCGAGATTGCCACTACATCCATACCCTGACGGCCGCTCACAAAGAGCAACATACGCCCTGAGTTGACCTTGAGAGGTGGCAGGAGCTTTTGATACATATAGCTGAGAGATGAAGTCCTGTGACTGCGTCTCCTTTTCGGCTAGAACGTTTTTCATCTGACTCTTCATTCATTATTTTCCCCATGGCTTGAGATAGATAGTTATGAACAACAGCTTTAGACAGACATCCTTTTTTTTGTCAGACATTTCTTTCTTACCCTTCCATAAACTTATTCTACAACTACAGGGGAAGTTTCGGGGTGCAATATCAGATAATGCTCAAAAGCTAGGTGTTTTCTAGGACCATGATGACATGCTTGGGACTCTGTAGTGTGCAACAATGTACTTCAGAAACTCGCGACCGAAACTCGCCAACCGGTTAATTATTTCGACTGAGAGTCTGAAGAACTAATCAAGTATTCAATACTGATCCAGGCCTAGGTATGCACCAAGAGAACGATCTCGGGTTATCCGGACCTATTGGTGATAGACAACTTTATATGTCTGTAACTTTTGTTTATATTTATAAGGAGAATATATCAAGGATTGTCGGTTAAACTCATGGCTGAATTTGTGTGATGATAATAGAACAGGCAGAAAGATAAAAGGTATCGAAAAGTCAAGACGCTATGACCTTGAGAGCATCGGTCGAAAGTGGAGGCTGGAGCGCAGATAAGAATTGGTCATCATTCGTCAATCCAGCCTTGAAGCATATACTTGTGGCGGCCGGTTGGTTTAAAAAGAAACACCGTCCACAACACAGACTCAATCTGTACGTACTGATATTGTATCATATTGCCATAGGGCCAAGCGTTGAGACCAAGGCCCAGATTCATGCCGCCAGTCAAGTCCCGCGGTGATCTATGCACACCCGCGAGTTTCCATGTGTACCACTTCAGAGTCCGCTATCATACACACATCAGATGGCCGAAAGTAAAATCGTGACAAAGGGATCGCCGGTCGTCTCCCCGAGTTAAGTATGGCGGCGCCAATCACCGGCGTCGTTCGAACCAGGAAGATGAGCCCATAACAGCCACTGACTGGTCCATCATCCACTCGCCAACACCAAGGTAGCTGTCAACCCATTTCTTGACGTCTTTGTTTTCTGTGATCTTGTCTGAATTGAGGCTAGGGCTAGGAAAGTCCCACGCACACACGACCCAACGAACGGGGGTGCGCGGGGGGTAACAGAGTTAGCCAACGGTTATCTTATGCATATCAAGAGCACCCAAGACGAGCAGCAAGCATAATGAATGATAGCTTGGAAAAATAGGATCGTGAGGGGTAGGGGTGTATTTACGTGAGGCCCGTGGAACGCTTGACACCTGCCAGGAAGGCGGAGACTGAGATGAGAGGCACCGGTTAGTTTGTAGTCCGAGGTAAAATATGGACCTGAAGGACTCACAGAGAACCGCATCAAATGCGTAGTGGGTAAGACGGCCAATCTAGATTCCAGCGAACATTCAAGTCAGTCATGGCATGCTCTGTGTTCCGGGGACCTCGGTTGTCCAGGATCAACCAGCAAAGATCTCTTACCATGATGCCGAATAGAAGACGTTAACACTGTGGATATTGAGTAACCGGTAGTCACCAAAAAAGCTTGAGAGACAAAAGTAAGAGAAGGACCCAAGCTGTCATGGAGACCGCCTAAAGAGCGGTCACGTGTGAATTCACATGACGTCTCTGGAGTGGCTGGAGATGAGGCTGGTTGGTACCTGACATAATCCATATTGTGGCGGGGCCGGATTAGGCCAAGCTTAGGACAACGTTGTCCACCTGCCCACCAGCTGCCCACCTGCCCACCTGCAGATGCCCAGATGGGCACTAACCCGGATTTGGTCTATCGATAAGCATTCTCATCCCACCGAAATCCCCTTTCGCCTCTGGGCCCGCGGGGGTCTCTGAGCTGTGGCTCGATCAATTGGGTGTCTGTATTTGTCACATTTATTCGATAGAAAGACTCCAATCTACAGCGCGTAGGACAGCACGGGGCAATCCTCCGCTTTTTTGCGGTCAACCCAGTCTGGAGTTGATATATAATATTTTTTTTCTGCCTGGACTATTTATGCCGCCTCTGCCGACAACTCCAGCTCTCAGGAAATGGAAAATATGGCCAGAGAAAGAGACAGAAACAAGACCAATAAAATACTCATATTTCATAAAATTCACAGTTTAATTTAGTATAGAGATTGTCCAGGGTCAATAGTACTGGCAAAAAAATGTCTTGGGATGGAACCAATACTCACACCGGCGGCCAACATTTTCCCTCCCGCCCCGCACCCATCCGTTTTCTCTTTCCCCTCCTCTCATCCTTTCTCTTCTACCATCCTCTCTGATTCTCAATTGATCAGAACTCCCTTACCCTTTCTAAATTAATTCAACAATTGTTGATCATATCAAAATGGCAGCTACCAACTCCCTCGACCACCTGAGCAACCGCATGAAGCTGGAGTGGCACTCCAAGCTCAACACCGAGATGGTGCCTGCGAAGAACTTCCGCCGTACCTCCATCATCTGTACCATCGGTATGTCAACCCAACAATGAGAAACTTCTTCAGGTTGAGCCCTGTCAAAGAAGCTGCGATGGAGAAAAAAAAACCCCCCGATTACTAACAGGCAATCGATCAGGTCCCAAGACAAACTCCGCTGAGAAGATCAATGCTCTCCGCACAGGTATGGCAATAGAGTCTCCGATGGAAATGAGCAGCTTTTTTGGGTAGTGATACTGACATGACCATAGTCGGTCTTAACGTTGTTCGCATGAACTTCTCCCACGGATCATACGAGGTCAGTATCTCCAATCAACATCTGATGAAGCCCTTCACTGACATTGCCCGTAGTACCACCAATCTGTCATTGACAACTCTCGCGAGGCTGCCCGTATCCAGACTGGTCGCCCTCTCGCCATTGCTCTCGACACCAAGGGCCCCGAGATCCGTACCGGTAACACCGTCGGTGACAAGGATTTCCCCATCAAGCAGGGTACCGTGCTCAACATCACCACCGATGAGGCATACGCCACTGCTTCTGATGATAAGAACATGTAAGATCATCCCCACTGCCGAAGGGTGAATTGTTTCAACCGACGTTCGCTCAACGTATTTGCGTGGCCTGACGAGCTTGACATGTGACGTGGACTGACAAGTGTGTGACGACAGGTACTTGGACTACAAGAACATCACCAATGTGATCACTCCTGGAAAGCTCATCTATGTTGACGATGGCATTCTGTCCTTCGAGGTCATTGAGGTTGTTGATGAGCAGACCCTTAAGGTCAAGTGCCTGAACGACGGCAACATCTCATCCCGCAAGGGTGTCAACCTGCCCGGCACTGATGTAGACCTCCCCGCTCTCTCTGAGAAGGATATTGCCGATTTGCGATTCGGTGTCAAGAACAAGGTCGACATGGTCTTTGCCTCATTTATCCGTCGCGGTAGCGACATCAAGCACATCCGTTCCATCCTCGGCGAGGACGGCAAGGAGATTCAGATCATCGCCAAGATTGAGAACCAGCAGGGTGTCAACAACTTCGATGAGATTCTCGCAGAGACCGACGGTGTCATGGTCGCCCGTGGTGACCTCGGTATCGAGATCCCCGCCCCCAAGGTTTTCCTTGCCCAGAAGATGATGATTGCCAAGTGTAACATCAAGGGTAAGCCCGTTATCTGTGCCACCCAGATGCTGGAGTCCATGACATACAACCCCCGCCCCACTCGTGCCGAGGTTTCCGATGTTGCCAACGCCGTTCTCGACGGTGCCGACTGTGTCATGCTGTCTGGTGAGACCGCTAAGGGTAACTACCCTTGCGAGGCCGTTAAGATGATGTCCGAGACCTGCTTGCTGGCTGAGGTTGCCATTCCTCACTTCAACGTCTTTGACGAGCTGCGCAACCTGGCCCCTCGCCCCACCGAGACCTCCGAGTCCGTTGCCATGGCCGCTGTCAGCGCCAGTTTGGAGCTGAACGCCGGTGCCATCATCGTTCTGACCACCAGGTATGTGTCGGAAAAGCGTTTCTGTCGTTTTGTCGTTTTGTATAACAATCATACTAACAAGTTCATAGTGGTAAAACCGCCCGTCTTGTGTCCAAGTACCGTCCCGTTTGCCCCATCCTGATGGTCACTCGCAACGAGACCGCTGCCCGGGTAAGTCCAATTCGATCGTTCGAATGTCGTTCTTTGCTGACAATAGTTTCCAGTACTCCCACCTGTACCGTGGTGTGTGGCCGTTCTACTTCCCCGAGAGCAAGCCTGACTTCAACGTCAAGATCTGGCAGGAGGATGTCGACCGTCGCCTCAAGTGGGGTATCAACCACGGTCTCAAGCTCGGAATCATCAACAAGGGCGACCCTATCGTCTGTGTCCAGGGATGGCGTGGCGGTATGGGCCACACCAACACCGTTCGTGTCGTGCCCGCCGATGACAACCTCGGTTTGGCCGAAGAGTAAATCTGTAAACTCATCAGATGGTAAGCTTTCGGTGATCGATGGTCCAGTGTGCTTTGTTTACCGCCGGTGTGCGGATGGGATACATACCTCTTTTTCTTCCCTTTATTCTCGCTTTTTTTTTCTGCTTTCAAAGCCAAATTTGTTCTCCGCTGTGTGGTCTGGACCACAGTCTGGAAGGTTAATATATTGCTCATGTAAATGAAACGAATTTAATGCTTTCCGGTCAAATTAGTGGGTTAGTAAAGCCTAGACAATTCAAATTGAATTGAATAGACATGGAACTTGTATTTTGTGCCTGAGTCCTTGTAGACTTGATTTGTAGCGCGTCAAGAGTTCGTGACATAGTCGTCTGGCATTAGCATGCCAATGCAGACTAACTGCTCTGTAGTCAATGTGCGACTGAAACTGGAATGATCCTCTTGAGTATCATAAAAGACTTCTGTCAAAAGAACTTGAAGGAGAAAAAACGAAATTCGCACGAGAATCAGATGCGGGGGGACGCAGGGGCCCGAGGCAGGGCAGCTTTAAAACCCCCGGCACCTCGGCCGCTCCATGTGCCCGAGGGGTGTTGACTAGATCAACAGGGCATATGCCGCAGACGCATTCTGTGCTTCCGCCTCTCTGTAGTAGGGAATGATGCGATTTTTGAAATCGTCTTGACGTCAGGTTAGCGAAAGAAATAAAAAGAGAATTAGAAAAAAAAGGGCCAGTAAATTAGTTAAACAAATTTCGCGGAGCCTTTGCCGTCCCGAACCCGGTTTCTGCCGATGGTTCCAACGTCAAGATTAGGCTGTGATATATAGATCTGTGTCATTTCAAGTGGAAATTATATAGCATCCCCCTTAGAAGTGCGGACAGCACCAATTATAGGTTGAAAACCATTAATATATTGTTCATATTGGAGTCCAATGCACAGTATAAAGCTATGATAGCACTTTTTGAACTGAACACACGTCATTTTTGACTTTCTATATACCGTCCTGTGGATAGTGGGCAATTCATCGCAACACTGAATACAGAGAGATCATACAAGCCACTTTTCAGCCGATCCAGACGTCTTTACTATTGTGTCTCGACCAAAAGTATCACGTACACCGGAGATTATTGGGAATAGTTGCCTTCAGGGAGTCTCGAATTATTCCAATCATTCAAAAGGCTATTTAGAGAACTGGAGGATCTAAATACAATTGGAAATCACTTCTAATGGGGCGCTTCTTGGTTCTGAGGCGAATATGGGTTTGTCTGTCCGTGAGGGAAAGCGGTTGTGCCGGCTGGGAGACCACTATGTTGCGATGGACCCGTTGCGCCAATGGGTATATTCATCATCCCTGGCCAATTTTGTGGAACCTGTTGCGGCATATTCTGGAAATTTCCCGGGCTTCCGTATGCAAACCCAGAGGGAAACTGCTGTGGGTAAGGGGCCTGGAAGAAAGGCCCTGCCGGCTGCTGCATGGGTCCACTTGGATATCCTTGCTGAGCCACCGGGACGTTCAGCGTCGGGGGGCTTGGTTGACTCGCATGGCTGTTGTAAGATAACAGTGGGTTCACCGTTTCCGACATCTTCGACTGGGCTCGCAAGTTCTGGTCTTGGGCCCTTTCATCTGCGAAGGCACCAAATATATCTTTGAGGTGTTGAGCAAACTCTAGATAAGCATCGGTAACTGTCTTGAGATGCTTTTCTTGAAGTCGGACTTCGACTCCAGCGTCGACCACAGCGTCATGTTTGCCTCCTTGCGCCTCGAACTCGGCGAGAGCAAGTGCCGTTTGGCAAGCATTGCGGATTTCACGTCCATTCAACCTTGCTTTTTCATTGGCCAGGAAGTATTGGCTGACGAATTCTAGAATCTGCTTATCAATGTGGATTTTTCTGCCCTTTGTCTGAAACCTTTCTATGATCATGGCTAGGTTCAATTGGAAGACTTGTATGGTAGATATCAATGTCAGCGGCGGATAATAGAGACTGATGTGGATACGCGAGGCGAAAGCCTCGTCGAAGTCGCCGACACGATTGGTGGTTAGAAACAATATTCCGGCATAATATTCCAGAACACGCAAGAAAACTTTCATGAAATTAGCATGAGGTTAGACCCCAAAGGATTGGTTAGATGGGACGGAGTGTTTAGACATAAAGAAATGATTCTCATACCGGCTACTAGCCCATTGCGCGTGAAGTCCGTTGGAGTGCGAGCTGCAAGAAAGACGTCTGCTTCATCAAGTAGCAGAATACAGCCCCATCGGTTGGCAAGCGAGAAATTCGTCTCCAGTGCCTCTTCAACTTCTTTGGCACTAGATCCAAGATCCCCTATGATAAGTAGATTAGCGAAGTAAACCATCAGGGGGGAAATGACTATTTATTTTACCGCAGGTAATTTGGAACAGCGGCTTCTGAAACAAGTCCGCAATACATTCTGTAAACTGTCAGCAAGATCCTGAGGTGATTTCTTGCGTTCATCTCCTCACCAGCTGTTGATGTCTTCCCTACACCGGGAGCTCCATGGAGAAGCATAATCAATCCTTTGCCTGCGCTTATGTTAACAGAAAGTTGGAATCGTATGGATAAGAATCGCAAACCTTTCCCGCGTGCAAAATCCACTTGTTCGTTTCTTGATCCTCCCGACTCCTTGTCGCGGAAGTGCTGGGCAATCAAAGACTGCACCATCTGCTTGTGACCAGGTGGCAGCACAAGCTTGTCAAATGGAGTCTCACGCTTGTGGCCCGCACTATCTTCTTCAGATCGAAAATCGACCAGATCTGCAAGGTCAAGAGGTGCTAGAATCATAGTGAGTAAGAATATCCAGGCAGCGGTCACAGTTACAAAAGGAAATTACTGGCCCCATTTTCGAGTGCGAAGCACAAATCCAAAGACCCGGTATGACATTATCAAGAGCTCATCATCTGTCAATTTTCCCCTGTCAAGCTCCACCAAAGTCCGGGGATAAACGGCGACAGATGGCAGTCTTGATCGATCTTGTGGATTCAGACTTCCCATAAAGTCTTCATTCCGTTTGGTATCGACATGTGAATCGTCGTAAACGTCCTCAAGCTTACAACATTGGGCCGAGCAATTTTTGCCGGCCTCAGCGTCCGGGATATTTCCAAGCAATTCTTCGATCTCCGGTTTCCAGTCTTTGTTTGCAGGGACCGAGAGTGCCTCAGAAAAGTAAATCACTACCTGGCCATCTACTTCGTCCCGGGTATCCAGCGTGAGCCCAGAACAATGCATGTGCTTGACAGCAGTCATGGTGATAAATTCCCTTCCCCTTTGTATGAGCTTTTCCCGAAGGCCCGGGGTCTTTGAAAACCGAAGCGGCTGCACAGGCAAGAGGGTAATGCTTTTCTCGCCATCGAAAGCCTCAATCTCAAATTCTTCGGATACTGGACCCAACTGCTTGTCATCAAAGTCCACATAGACGCAGTGGATGCGCATTGGTTTCTCTTCTGATTCGCTATCAAAACGGTTGTAGAAATTGTCCCAGGGCAAGACACCTTGATGCTTGGGACTAGTGACACTAAGGATGCGGTATGCTTGTAGACCCTTGTGTCCAATCACTTCGTCGCCAGGTTTGAACAAATACCATAGATCTGCGAAGGTGACCATTTGGTGATTTTCGCTGGTCAGGTATTCCTTCTTGGCTGTTATCTCATCATCGATAAAGTCGAGAAGGCAAGTCAGATGCTGCAGGACAATTGATGGCGTTTTAAACCAATCCTGTCTTGTGATCTGGTCTAACAGCGTAATTTCTGGTATGGATTCGGTGTCCTCAGTATCTTTGGTACGATCCTCAGGCTTCGTGGCAAGGGCATCATGCCAAAGTCGAAAATCCTTCTCATAATATGAAAGGGCTTTGAAAGGCCGGGTCATTATGAGTGATCCACTGTCATAGGAAACTTCCTTGTACTGGATCATGGCGAGCAGGTGAAGAAGTGGTACAGAGTTGATTCTAATTCGTTCTGGGAGCGGAGCCTGCCCCGGTAAAAGACTTTTGGTGGCTGTCTTGCGGTCTTTTAAGATGTCATCACTCTTGTCTGTGGCTATAAGATGAATGGGAATATCCAAGATGTCGTAACTGGTACTGGTCTCTGGTTCACCGATGAGAATTTCGAGGACAGACCGGGAACCCAAATCTATAATTTGGCCTGGAAGGGTTCTAAAACGTTGCCATTCAATGCGTTTCATTGTTGCCTCAGCATGAACCTCTGCTTCAGATGATTTGGACTTGCTTCCAGGTTGCGATGAGTTTTTCTCTGGATTATCCTGATCTGCGTCGGCCTGTAGTACTGATTCAGTGTGCGCGGCATGGGACCTTGCTCCTTCTTCTTCCTCTTCCTTTGCTTGTCTCTGGGCCTCCTTCTGCATTTCTCGCTCAAGTGTCTACGCTCTCATCCCGTCGTATCGCTCTTGCACTGCATAGAGATACTCCATCTCCAGTTCATAGCTGTATCGTGCTTCAGTCGCCGACGTGTGAATTCAAAGGCTAGATCATCTGCTTGAGGTTGAATATAGCCATCAAGGAAGGGGCTGGGTCTCGCTTTCTACGTATCAAAATTTGATCACTGACTATAAACCCCATGGAAATTGCTTCGATATCTGAGGCAGAGATTATCGCCAGACTATCATCCAATCTATGCTGCGAGGCTTCGTCGGCAACGGAGAAATCTGGGCCGAGGGCTGGGATAGGAACACCGACATTGTCGTCTTTAACGCATGGAACAGTTAGCTATACACTCTTCTGAGGTCAATACCTTTCCTATATTTGGCAGTTTGAGCTAGGTAGCACTTTGTGCTCCGTACAGCGTGGGGTTATCCCTTGGGAGTGGGAGGTACAGGGGAAGCTCTAAGCAATTACTAGCTGGTCCACATATCCTCAAAACATGTCAATTTGATTTAACCCTAAACCCCCGAGAGAATCTCTCATTTCCATGGCTCTGAGTATCAGATCCTCCAATAGAACCTATGCCAATTCACACTCGATAACGCTCTCGACTCCTTTGTGGATATTCCAAATCTTCGTGATCTTCAGCCCAGCAGATTCCACCAGTTGGTGCCACTCGGCTTCGGTCCGCTCGGTCGTAGCGAAATCGGCCATCATGATAATATCCATGCTAGTTGTCTCCCAGTATGCGCCGGTATCAGTGATGACTAGGTCGTTAATCAGCAACTTGCTGAATCCGGGCTTCATGGCCTCCGCGATAGCCTTCAACATCTTGCGCGCATTATCATCCGACCAGTCGTGGACGACAGTGTGGAAATAGTAGGCGCGAGCACCTATAGAATGGAAGGTTAGCTTTAGTCTAAGTCGAGAGGGGGATATATGTAGAAGGAAAAAATATACCCTTGATAGGCTGCTCAGTGAAGAAGTCATGCACCATTGGCTCGATGGAGGGGTGCAGTTGCTTTTTCTTGGATTGAGCGGTCAACTCAGGAGTGTCCTGCAGCACCAGGCGTCCAGGAGCATCAGGCCACTTGCGTCTGAACTCTGAGATATCGTGGCCCAGGCCGCCACCAAGATCGACGAGGAGAACATCATTCGGTCCGACATTTGCGATCAGGCTGGGCACGTCGTAGAAACCAACATCCATCCAGCTAGGACGTCCTTGGCGGTAGAAAGCCATATGATTGTTGAACTGGCCAGCAACCTTTGGGTTCGCCTTCATGTACTCGAAAAAGTGAAGATCGGTTTTGTATCCGCGCTGGAAGGCACAATCCTTGCCGTTAGTTGGATTGACATATCCATTCTCTTTAAGATGAGCCGGCAGAGCAAGCACACCGAACATGACGGAGTTAGTTCTGACCAATGAGTTAATATTATACTGTTTTATTCTTTTTTTGATTCCGGATCCACGGGCTCAGACTTACGCGCAAGCATATGAATCGCTGCATAGTTGCCAGCTCAACGTAATGGAAGTTCCGGTGCGGCGGTATTCATTAGGACCGGCCTCAAGGATAACACCCACTGTGCTCAAGTGCTTCAGGATGCGTCCTGATTAGATTTATGGTTAGCTAGGTGTGCATACAAGACATGCGGGATAGTAAGTCACATACTAAGAAGGGCTGGGTCAGCACCCGTGGCCTTGGCTAGCTCGGCAGCAGACTTAGGCTTCTCATCCTTGGACAAAATAGCAAAAAGCCCCAGATCAATACCTATCTCCACAGAGGCATAGGTAGAAGCCTATAAAGCCAATATTAGTGGCTGTGGACGACACAAAATTGAAGTTTGGGAATTTACCAGCTCCCAACAGTGTCTGTTCATAGCCTCACGCGGGGTCTGAAGTGCATAGACCAGGGATTGTGCAGCTTCCAAAAGCGCAATTCGATCATCGTAGTCTTGCAGGTTGGCAGATTTCCCAAGGGAAGCAACCTGCTTGACCAGGCTAGGAACCAGCTCTGGCGTGCTAGGGGAAGTTGCCACGCGGGCCAAGAAGGCCTCATGAGGTTCACCGTCAGCGCGGGTGGTTCCACTCAATGTAAGGCTTGCAATATCGGCCATTGTGGATGTAATATAAGTAAGCTTGAAAGTGTAGAAGAGTTTGAAAGTGTAGAAGTGTGTGAAGAGATGTAGAATAAAAAGGCACTCGAGGGGCCTTTATATAATCTACATTCACTCTCTATGAATCATCTTTTTTCGAAATTTGATGTAGTCACTACTTCGAATGAAGATACATCAGCTGAGCAATGGCTAGACCGGGTACGACCATGCAGTGCCGCTGTCATGAAGCTAAATACATTTCACCTGGGCCCTGTGAGCTCCTTCTTTTGTCGAAGTTGGGGTCCGGGGAAGTGGAGGGTTGGTAGTTTAATCCAGACCGTCTGTGTAACAAACCGACTTGAGTAAGAATATATCCAATAGACCACTTCATGAAGTTTACTCCCGGGGTCCTGGCGCCCCGGCAGCTATGAAATAAGGACAGAAGTATCAAAATGCGTTAGCATCCCGGTACCCCATTTTAAACGGTGTGGTGGGGATGCCAACATATTCCCATCCATTCGGCCAGTTCTGTCAGGATCTTAGCCCCTATAAGACCCATTGACCCCGGGAGTGGCCTTGGGAGCCTTTCAAGATTATCTAGGTATATATTTATAGGAATCTAGTTATATCTAGTCAGGTTGTATGTCTACATGTGCATAACAGGTATTGAGCAATACGACCAAATTCCTTGGCAAACTTCGCCGCACGAAATTACATTCGCTGTACTAGGTAATTCTTCCTAATTCAACTTGAGTTTTAGGAAATATCCTAGTTAGCTAGCATATGGAAATCACTGAGTCGGGTCTTTCCATGTTTCCATGTTATGGCTAGCTGTGGACTCTGAGCACATTGATCAGAACCTACAACATGTGATCTAGATTGTACCCACGATCTAGACAGCTTAATCTAATCTTTTTAGACCATCTAGGCCAGATGTCAAGACTAACAACTCAGCCATTCGACATCAAGGGAATATGCTACCCCGCAAGTTTCTGAGCTTACATAAGGGATCGTCCACGGGTGGGGTACTTCCGCTGTCATTCCTTTTAGCTGCATGTACGCTGCATGGACTAAGTGGCTAGTGCGAGAAGGGTTTTATATCCGCATCGAACTAAAAAGTGGACTATGTACCAACAATACTGTAGGTAACAGGAGCCTCGGAGATTAATCGCCAACCAGTTATATTGTGTCTGCAAAAGATGAATATCGCTTGCTAAATGGGGCGATCGTCGCAGCTATTTGTCTACGAACAAATCGTTACAAAGCGGCCTATGGAAAGGGCATATTGGAAATCGACATGATCCCATTGAGTAAACGAAAATGATCTGGGACTGGCTATGAAAATGCTGCTATGAAAATGAGTGTCTTGAACGAGGCAATGCGAAGTCATAATAAGAAATTCGCCACAAATGATAAGTGTCACGCTGCGCCTCTTCATGCAAATTCATCAGGTCGTAAGTCATAAATGTAAGTTGGCCATGTCTGTAGATCAAAATGGTGGGTGTCAACCAAGAAGCTATTAGTAACCAGCGTCTTCCAAAAACCCGTGCCCATCAACAGTCTCAGCTTCAGTGGGCTGGTTCTCATAGCGGTACATCGCATTTGGTTGGAATTGATGCCAGCAGCTAAACTAAGTCAGTATTTAGTCGCACATTCGAGAGAAGATATATCAACTAACCTGGGAGCTTGAAGCACGTATCTGGCCATTGCCTCACGGAAACGGCCCTTGTATTCCCTCGGACTTGTGACCGTTGGTCGATTGCGGCCACCGCCAGCAAATCCTTTGTCTTTGATCCAGGACTCGAGTTTTTTGTCCCATGTGTAGGTGCGGATGCAGTCAATGATACCCACCACCAGTTCATTGCGGCTTTCATCGATGGCGATCATGAGCGAGTAGTCCATGACGTCTTGGCGACCCAAGAAGAGTGTGTCATTCCATACACTTTGACCAAGAAGCTTCTTTGAGTGCTCGCGGGCAAAGAGGGGTGTCTCATAGATGAAATCCACCATGTTCTCGTCCAAGAGAACCTCGTCCCGCTCACCGGTGCTCTCTACTTTGCGGTTTCGCATTGAGCCTTTGAGATCGAAGATGCGCGTAGGGACACGGTCGTAGAATAAGTTCTCCATTAGCAACAAGAACCAATTAAACTCTGTTCCTGTGACCGGGTTCTTGATGATGACTTGGTAAAAGCCAAACATCTTGGCGATTGCGGAAGGGAGTTCATGGAATAGGGCTTCGGACATGATTTGGAAATAGGCTGGGGCAAATTTGAGGAAAGCCTGCGTCTCAATCGGCGAGAGTGACTTGAGAATGAAGCGGTCGTCAAGGGTCTTTAGGAACAACGATTTTGTCTTGCCACCCTTTGAGTCCCACTTTGCGCACCGAGACAACGACTCGACGATTCGATCTGCCACACCACATTTTTTGCGCAGAGCATCAAATTGCTCGGCGTAGAACACTTTGCACAGCATTTTGGCCTGGCCTTCTTGGAATTGATACTTCAGGTGTGTACCCGTAGGTCGCAAGAGAGCATGTTCAACCCGTGCTTCCTTCGCAGCTTCGAGGTCATCTCCCTCTGGTTTATTTTCTTCCACCTCGTCAAAGCGCTGTTGAATGCTTGACAGTTTCTCTTTGTAGTCTGAAGAGTCCAAAGCGAACGCTACCAAAGAGCTTGGTTCGTCCTCGCGAACAATAATATTGCAATCAGCAAAGACATGATCCATGACACTGAGTGGATAGTCAAGAGACGCCCACCCACTTGCAGAACGTTCAGACCAAAAGTTTGTCAGAATTTTCAGAAGCGTATTGCGCTCATGTTTAGGTAGTTCTTTGAAATCAATCGAGTCGTCCTCTGCCGAGTTTTTGGTCTCTTCATGGGAATTTACCGGATGGAGATCTTCAACCATGCTTTGATCCTCATCACTTTGGTGGTCATCTGCCTCGCCGCCAGACAATAATTGGTTGTCAGGACAGAGTGCGCTGTCATCTTCCATAGGCGCCGGGGGAGAAACATTTGGCAGAGAGGGCTCATCATGAGTTATATCATCACGCGTAAGTTCATCGCTCTTGCGACTCAAGTCGTCCATTGAGATTTGTGGAGCCGAGGGCAAAGATTCATCGGAATCAACCGGTGGTTCACGTTCTTCAACAGCCTCTCGTACATTTCGATAGACCTCCACGATGGGCTTCGAGGACGCCAGTGGGAATGCTCGGGACTGAGTGCCCTTGGCAGCGCGTTGGCGTCTTTCACGCTGTCTCTCTTTTTCGAACTCACGACTCAATTGCTCAAAATGCCTAGCGAGATTGGAAACCTGCGATATTCCCTTTTTACCTGGAGCGGACCGTGGGATAAGCGAGTGACCTGAGGCAAATCGGGCACTCTTAAGAGAACTCAAGCCCAAACGATCGCTGAGCTTTCTATCCGATGACTTTGTTGATGATTGGCCTGCAGACTTTTCTGGATCAATTGGGTGGGTGAAAGCCAATTTCAACCCTGGAAGTTGAATGTTGTGAGATGTTCGGGGTAGATTCGCTGGCTGGGACTGAGCACGCACAAGCGGAGGAGATCGTACCTTGCCAGTGCGCCGAAAGGCTGGCTCGGTAGGTCTTGGTATCGCTGAAGGCCGACGTACTGGGGTACTTGGCATGTCAGAAGCGCCGCTGTCTTCAGTTCCATTTTGGGTTCCTTGATCGGGAATCTCAGAAATTTCCGGCAGTGATGATTCTGATGAGCCGTCGCCGGGGATCATCATAGGAATGCTAGTGTTGGGGGGAGATTGATTCGAAATGCCAGCATTGCCGACGGAGCTGCGTTCCGATTGACCAGTAGGAACAGCCAAGTCAAGATGACGGACTTCTTCTTGGGAGACAGCCTCATCCTGGGGTGAGGACCTCGTTCCACTGGCTTCATCAACTGACAGAATTCCTTCCTCAGCTGACGGTGGAGACGAGGGCAACTGGTCTTCTTGGAGTTCCTCGCGGTGCTTTTTGCCAGCATGCTCCTCGACAACGGAGACCAGTACATTCTGTGCCTTTTCCGGCGACAGTGTCATGCGTCGCATCATGCGTGGCCTGTCAGCTTCCTGGTTGTTTTCATCTTCAACGTCTGTGGGAGTTTGAAGGGCATCATCTGTAGAAACCGATGTTGCGTCTTTGTCGAGGAAGATCTTTTTAAGTTGAAGCGTTGCCATATGCTTGATATCCTTTTCGGATGGGAAAAAGTTCATTTCGAAATCGGCAAATGTCATATCCCATTCGACAACCTTTTCTTGGACTGCACGGAGGACCTCATTCAGCGGTATGATCTCCCAGTAACTTGAACTCGTGTATTTGTCTTGTAAGTAACGAACCAAAGAGCTATGGTCTTCATGGCCCTTCTTGATCAAAGTTTCGATTTCCGTCTTGCAGCTCTCCAGTAGCTCGGGAACAACACTCTCGACATTGATGCGTTTCAATCGATCTTGAACAGACGCCATAAATTTGCTGATGCGCTGCTCGGTACGCAAATATACTTCGTTCCTCAGCTTCAGATCGTTGTCCACCTTCCAAGTGACACGAGGCCGTGGAACGATAATCTCGAGAAGACGAATAGGATCATATTGAACTCGCAAAGCGAGATCTCTGTAGCCAAAATAGTGGAAGTAATCCCGCCGCAAATCATGCGAGCAACCTCCAGTGCGAGCAAGCAAGTGTCTTCCCCAGAAAGACAGCTCCAAGTATTTTCCGAATGAATATTTCCATGTGTTCTGCGACATAGGCATGACTTGAGTTTCATTGCCACAAATTTTGCAACAGCTCCACATCAGCACGGAATTGTGGAGCCCACGGAGCTTAGAAGGATAAGGCTGGACCAGGATGCTGATCTGAGCCTCGCCATGGACGTACTGGCGGTGGTGCTCGAACATGCGCTTCTCGCAGCCGTTGACAGTGCATACGGAATTGGCTGTGTGACAAAGGTCCTCGACATACTGCCCAATTGTGAGGTCTGACTCGAAAATTGTGTCATCTCCATGCTCATTATAGAACTCTAGGGCAAAAGTATCTGGGCCTAAGCAGGGGACTGATGTTGTTGTGCACACAAGACTGTAGAGAATGACCAGATTCTGGTGTGCATAAGGGTCAAACATGTTAGGATTCCCCGCCACATAGGCCTCCCATTGTCGCTTTTGGGTTTGATGGTGATAGAGCGCCCGATCGTACTCGGCTTCATGCGCAGCATGAAGTACTTCCTTGACTTTTGCTGGCGCATCTTGCGGTGATTGATGGACCATTTCCGGGGTGACGAGGACAAATTTCTGCGGTTTGACCTTTTCATCTGTGATCTGATCTGAGTTGCGGTCTTGATCACGAAGAGACTTCAGATACGAAAGTCTGCGTTCCATTTCGCGCGCACGCGTCAAGAGATACGGAGGCTCGAATCTCACGAAAGGAGAGGCTGACAAAATCTTTGTGTTATAGTCCTTAATCATATCGTTGTAGTATGTCGGCATTGGGATGTTGTCTGGAACTTTTGCAGCATCAGCATCCACGAGAATTCGGCTATCAGAGTTATCACCAAGTTTCTCGTTTGTTCCCTGTTGAACAGTACATTGGTCGATTAGATGTGCGTCGCCTTCGTGAGTGATAATCTGGGAATTGAATTTCTTGTCTTTGTCGGGCACAATTGTTGATTCTTCTGTCGGCGAGGTTGATATCCGCCCGAATTCGTCCCGCATCAGATTTGTTTCTAGGCGGAGATTGTACACAACGTAGATCATGAACTCGGTGATCCTTTTCACATTCCCGAGGACTTGATCATCTCCTCCGCGCAGGATAATGGTACACCCAAGCTCTTTAGGACAGCCGGAGATGTACATATATGTCTTCTTTCGACCATTATGAACGTAGGTCTTCACGTCGAAACTGCTGCATTCACTATGCAATGTGGTCGTCAAGAGCTTGTCCATAGATGTCATGATTCTAGTCTGTGTACATCTCGAGACTGCCTCGAGAACAGATGGCTTCACATTATATGCAGTGGCAATTCCAGCTTGCTCAAGGAGGCCAAGAGCCAGGCCAGAAACAGTTTTCTCGACCAACAGTAGGTTTGGATGCAGTGCTGAGATCCGACTGACCAAGTTCTCTAGAAACTCGCGCTCCTGTCGAATGACAGGTTCGAGGCTCATGAAATGTTGTTGCTGACGAGCGTACTCGAGAGGAAATGTGATGATCAAGATATTTGGACGTAAAATGTTTCGTGACATGCCTTTCAACGCCAAGTTTTTCGTAAAAACGAGTCCCGATACATAAGAAGTGTCACTGGGTCGGCCGCCCGGAATCTTCTTCAACTTGACGTAGTGTCGAATGTCCATATCATCCCCTTTTTGGACATCTGGATCGACCTCGTCTGCTGCTTTCAAGAGTATTGGCATCAGGGCATTTTCCCAGCTGTCACCATTTGGCACGGCGGATTCTACAAGCAGTTGATGCAGAAGCTTTCGTACGTGTTCTAGACTGGCTTTGTTCAATTCCACCGGTGGCGCATCAGTGCCCCTCATTGATGAACTCCGAGTCATCTTGAACCCGACCTGCTTTGTATTTTCGGGCAAAGATATGGCTGGTACTGAGGTGTCATGAGCGAACATATTATCTTTTGATGTCCTGGGTGAATGGCGCGGTTGATAGCTGCTAGTAACGCTCATGTTCCGACGACGAGAAAAACGAGGTAGATTTACGGCTCTTGAACTGGTGATACTGGCTTCGTCTGCATCTCGATTCATACTGGGAGTACTTCGGTCTCCAAAAGCAGATCTGCCCTTTTTCATGGCAGCGAGAAGCCCACCAAAGGATGCCCTCTCATTTTCACCTCCACTCTTGGACAGAGCGCCTTCAGAGACCGCAGACAAGAGACTAGGTTGCTCATCACCACTGGATGCGTCATCCGAGAGATATTGAGCAATGTCAGGGTCAATGATATTATCTTTATGAAAGGCGGGGAGTCGGGATTCAGCGTCTATGTCATCTGCATGCCGGCGTTGAAAGGGGGCGCGATCTTCGTGATATGGCTTGAAGCCCCGAATATATTGCTGACGAGAGTGGTGACGTTTGTGACTGATGGAGTGCGGTCTTCCACCCAGCGAGGACCGCAAAGAGCGCGAAGAGGTGGGTCGTGCTAGAGGACGATCAGAATCAATTTCAAGGATTGCCGATCGGCGGTTGTGTCCCTCTCCAGCCCGTCTTGTGGCCGGTATGGCCATCGTCGGGGTTCTCAGAACGTGACCGATCGATTGAGATACAACTGAAGATGAATCATCGTCATCTGCAGATGTCCGCCCAGTATTGGTCCAACTGAGTTCAGAAACTCGAGGATTAGCTACTATGGGGCTCTGCTCGCTATCGGAGAATTCAGAGGAATCATCGTCGTGCGCATTGATCATCTTCTCGCAGGGTTTGCAAACCCGGATACTCCCAGGTTGTCCGAACCGTGTTCCCGAAATGAGCAGGGTGCATTTCGAATCAAAGATTTGACCACAGATTCGACAGTGGTGTTTTCTGCGAAATGTCGTGAAAGGTTCTCCGCAATGAAAGCAGTCTTTAGCATTCTCGTCCCGCATCCAGAAATCCCTGCTAAGCAGTTTACTCCTTAGCTGCGACAAAACACCGTCGCCCCCGGCCGGAGGTTGGCGCCTAGCTTGTAGAGATTGGCCAGTAGGCCGGTCGAATTCAGTGTTCAATGGAGGCAATGAAGAAACCGTTGTGGTAGTTTCGGCCGTGGAGGCCCGTGAAATCACGTAGCCAGGCAGTCGCGCTGCTCGGTTTGAGGACGTTGACTCTTCATTGGATCTGCCGGGGGCTGTAACCTTTGAAGACTCATTGGCGTTGGCGCTGTCACGAGGAATATTTGTCTCTATGTTGGTTGGGAGACTTTCAGCAGCGTATGGTGCTTCATTATGAGAGGAAAGTGTTGATAGACTAGTTGACGCAGAAACCGAAGCGTTTGGCTCTTCAGGAGGGAAAGATATTCGTAATTTTGATCTTTCCCCCGAGCGCTGTGATATCTGATCCTGAACTGGCTCAGATTGCTTGTGATATTGCATGTTGGCTGATTGCGAGGAGTTTTCGGGCAGCGTTTGTTGATCTGGAGTAGAGATGGACTTCCGAGACTGGTTGTCTGGAGTATAGCTTGCTGAGAAGAGTGAGTCTTTGGAGTTGAATTCCTCGTGGTGGCTGTCATGCATCTTCACAGACAGAACCGGCGAACTAGAAAGGTTCTGAGACAATGAAGAGGATGTTTGACTCATGGAAAGATCCAAAGGTCCTTCCTTGCTGCCGATACTTGTCGATTCTGCGTTTTGGTTTCCCTGGAAGGGGCCATTAACGGAGCTGCTTCTTGAGCGATCGGGGTTTCCAATTACATTCACATGAAGCTGACTGACAGCAGGATCTGCCACGATAGCACTACCAGTGGCTTTCGTTAACGATGCGATACTGGGCTTGATTCCAGGGGACGGTGACACAGAGGTCTTGGAAGATATGCTGCCACTTTTGGAGGATATTCTTGATCTCTTTCCTACGTTCGATTGCTGTACAAGATCTTGATGAGTTTGAAAGTCTGGCACAACAGGTGAATGGAGCCTTGATCCTTGTGACGAATTGGGCTGTGATGGCGAATAATCAGCGGAGCTTGTAGCCAGATCTGAGACTGGTCTTGCAATCAAACGCTCCGACGATGGACCCTTGATTGTAGCAGTTTCTGTCGCACTTTTGTCTGTGGACTTTCCGCCACCACTGACAATATCCCTCACTCCCCCGACGGAAGTCCTAAAGCGACTATACAGACCGCTTAGTCCACCTTGTAATTCCTCAGAGAATGCTTTCTCGTCCGATGTAGCAGCCGGATCTGGCGGACTAGTGAACTCGTTGAAAAGAGTGAGCGATTCGGACTGATACGCTGCATTATGGTAGTTGTCCAGAGCTGCATTCATCGATTCTCGTTCAGTCTGAGTCGTAGCCATGGAGCTGTGTGATCCGCGTCGCCCAAGAGGAAGCGAGTTGGAAGAGACAGATGGACTGTGCGAGCCCTGGGACAGCTGAGAATCCATGGCCAAGTTAGGCAGAAAGGTCTCAGATCATCTCCACACAGGATACAGGCACCGTTGATAGCCGATCATTCGGGGCAGGACTGCGGGAAGGTCTCGGGTTTGGCGAGTTTGGGGGGAAGAGGATCGAGGGTCCGGTAAAAGCGTCTGTCAGGGTGATCAAAGAAACTTCTTTTGAGAAAAGACTAGGTCCCTTTGCCCTCCGCACTTTGAATGACGTGGTGGTGCTGAGTAAGCTAGGCGCGTCTCCAGGGCTCCCCGGCAGCTCGCAATCGATAAGACGCGGTTGAGTGGTGGGTTTTTAGATACGGTACAACCTTTCTTTTTTTTCCCTACAAACGCCGGGAGCTACAATCCTCCCATGTTCACTGCTTACACTCTTACCAGCTATGACCCATATGCTGTGTGCCAAGTTGATCGCAAGGCTGGATTCGCACGATGAATCCAGTAAGTCCCTGGATCGCGGCTTTGGCCGACCAATGTCTCTCATTCTACCTCGGTCAAAATGATCAAGATGAAGTCCAGGTGGAGGATGTTGATGGATGTCTCAGCTTCACTATACGCAAGCTCACACTCAAGACAGCTGTTGTTGTATCAGTAAGATATCTCAACCGGATGCAAAAACGAAAAAAACCCCCCAATTGTCTCTAACTGCATGTCTCTTGTCTATCAGTGGGAACAAGGAGAGCACAATCACCGCGCCACATTCACAGACTCAAAGAACCAGATCGATGCGATTATTTCACGAGACTCACCGGATGCACAGGGAGCAACCTCACCCTGCCCACCGTCGGTCAAAGGGGGCCCCAGGCACCTGGTTGAACTTTCTGATATCAAGCTCATTTTTACGTACTCAGCAGCTAGCCCAGATGTCTGCCTCCATGTCAATCGCTTGACCATCCACCGGAATGCGGTCCCAAAGGGGGATGTGCCGAAACCAAAACTCAAGAAGGCGGCGGCTCTCAGAAGCCTGATGACTATGGTGTGCGAGAAAATCCAACAGACCCGAGAGCATGCTGGCCCCAATAGCCAAACAAATACGGGCTTGATCGATCCATTTGTTTCTCAGCGTGACCAAGCCATGCCTCATTCTCAAAACAACTCGGTGTCACAATCGCTCTTCTCCCAACACCCGCCTAATATGCGCCACAGCGCACCGAAGAGTTATTCAATGGCCAAAAGTGTTTCCCTAAATGGGTCATCAGATCTCCTGGGATTGCTCACGACTTCTCATCCTATTCAAGCGAAAGACACAGCCACTAGAGAGCCTATCGAGGCCCATGGACTGTCTCTGGGTGACAGTCACAGCAGGCGTTCTCCCCCAACAAATAAAAGAAAGTCGGCGGCACTAAAGGACATTGGTAGACCTCTAACCGGAACACAACCCTCATTCCAGAGACTTTCTACCAACACTACCGATGCGACGCGCGTTAGTAAATCTGCTACCAATCCGCATTACACCAATATTGAACGAGAGGTCGACAACTTTATAGCAGAGTGTAAGGTTCAAGTCACGACATCTCCAAATGAGTCAGATTATCGTGGGCAGGCTCATAGTGTTGCTACGGGGGACAATCAACAATTTTCGAAAAAAAGACATCGTGGCAGTGCAGATGCGCCATCACAAGCAGCGCACGGCGATGATCTGGACTCGCAAAACTGGCCAAGTTCGAATACATTACCCTGCAAAAAGCGACAGCGTATTGATGCTAGAGAGGTGATACCGGCGGACCCAACTGAATTTGAGCAAGTGCAAAACAAGACCGTGCCGTCACTTCCTAGGGTGCAGATTGTAAGCACCAAAGCAGACATTGTGTGCCTATCCGCAACAAATCCATGGGAAGGAATGACCAAGATACCTTTGAGCGAAGTCGATATTCCAAAGGATCAAGCAGAACTTTTGGAAGGACTGAAATGGATCCCTCAGGAGCCCGGTGTATCTGCACCTCTATGTCACGTACCACCTCATCTTTTGACGCAGTGGAACAACATTGCACGAAGAAGGCAACATTTGGCAGAAGAACAAGAAGCAGAGGAACAAGAAGCAGAAGAACAAGAAGTAGAAGAAGAGGAGCAAGTATCTGAACGTGCCCTTACCCCGACCCAGGAAGATCCCTATACCTCTCCCATACCATGGTCTCCGTCCCCAGATAGGACCCCTGCTCGAGATGTTCTTCCACGGGACACCGCTTCTCCCCCAACATACATACGGCCTACCAGAAATCTTTCTACGCCAAATCGTACTCAACATAGCATTGATCGATCTGCAGAAGATGGCAATGTGAGTATGGTGAATGTATCTTGCAATGCTCCTTCTCAGACAGGGCAGGAGGATATTGACCTGTCAAAGGGCGGCATGAACTCAGCAGATCAACAACGTTCTCCGTCTCCTGAGGAAGTAACAAGAAAGCCGAAAAATTCTGTGTCTTCGGACCATGATCCTGGTGATGACCCATTTCCAAGGCACAACGCTTCAAAGTCGCTTGATGTGGTCAATGCTCAGCCCTCAAGTACAATACAGGAACATTTTCACAATGAATCACCTGCGGAGAATGCCCCATCTAAATCTGAACTACGTGGTGAATCAAGTAGCGATGAAAGCGATGAGCCAGAAATGGAAACATATGTTCCTTTCGCTCTGGGTGGGAGCCTTCCAGCAAGCAGTCAGCCTGAGCAGGAACTCACTAGCTCGGGACCGTCGCTTCCAAGATTTGTAGGGGGCACCATCCAAGTGGTAGAGACACCTGCAGTCCATACCACAAGTCTGAATCCTGAGAAGAAGAGCAAACAGAGAGCTGTGTTTCAAGCCCCGAGCTCTCAACAGCCATACTCTCTGGCTCTGAAGACATCCCCCTCGTCCCAAATTCTCAACACCTACCGTTCACAAGATAGCCACGGGCATAGTGACTTATCCCAGAAGGCACCAAATCCATCTTTACCGGTATTGGAAGACGAATCACTGCGAGTGGATGTGCTTGGTACTCAGACTCAAACGAGCAGCGTACATGCACCATCTCAGGCGACTGTCCAGTCATCCTCGGACGTTGTACTTGATTCATCGAGACCTGCTCAACGACAGCGTGGGTCTTCTATCTTCCATTTAGACGCCTCGGACGACCCGTCCTCTTTTCCTTACGCCAGCTATCACTCGCTGCCCATGTCTCAACTTCATGAACCAAGTCAAGATTCTTCGAGAGGACCCTTTTCCCTCGACGGAGCCTCGCAGTTGCCGGGATTGTCCCCTATGGAACTCACTACCTGGGTCGCTACTCATGGTGAATCGCCATCCAAATTTTCACGCCCTCCGCGCTGTGAGAATGCTGATGCTGGCCAAAAGGCATCTCACAGTCCAAATGTCGAGTTGGTCGCACGCCGACAGGGCTTTATTGGCAAGTCTGACAAGTACGCTGAAGCACAGACAATCTATGAAAAATTCTGTAATGATTACTCGCTATATTCTGGTGATTTTGCTCACTTCACTGAGATGTGCTCGAAACTGCAGACAATGCGGCAAAGGGGTCAACTTCAACGCTCGTTCCTGTGGGATGACTTTGTCATCCAACATCTAGAAGAATACCCACGGTATTTCACAGAGAGTGCGTCACAAGAGTCGAAGCCTCTGGTCTACGAAGACTTCTTTTGTTCAACATTCACACGCCCCCGACACAAAAAAAGAAGCCTCACAGCTCACGGAGTTGAGATAGTCGCGTCTCAGTTTGTTCCGGCTCCACATCAAGTGACAATCCAAGGAGAGGTAGCCCAGGATAAAGCGATACAAAACGAAGTGGCCAATTCTTCTTTCACAGCCAGCCTTGTGGAAAAACTCTCAACCCTCCATGCTCAGTCCTTTGGTGATGTTCCTGTTCCGGATATCTCCATGCCCACTGCAACACAGCCATCGCCATCCCCATCTACTAGCACCAGCTCGCATTCGATGGAGCTCAAAGTTGAATCAGATGATTCTTTCAATGAACAAATTGACTCCCAAATTATCACCAGCAGCAATGATCAAAAGCCTGTGTTCTCTAGTCATGATGAAGAGATGATCGATGCAACGCAATACGACGCAGATAACATTCGCATTGCGCCCGATGCAAACGACGTTGAAATGGCCGAAACTGGCATGGACGAAATTGACGAGACACAGGAACGAGATGACACTCACCATGAAACTGCAAGCATTGAACTCGGCGATGACACTGACGATCACCACATCTCTACCTCTCCCGCCGCGCCTGCGGCCCTGGGTTCTCTGAATGTTGCCGAGCCCGAGCGGCCAAGGCAACGAAGACCCTGGTTCCGATCTCTTCGGAACATATTCCCCACAGGTCCTGTGTGGTCCGACGACCCCGACACGCCGTTCAAGCGTTGGGCTCGCCAAGACCAGAACGTTCTTCAGGAACTCAAGCGTCGCGGTGGAGCTAGGGTTTTAACGGATGAAAAGGGTGTCATTCGTTGGCCCACCTACAACCAAGAGAAGAACCCTGATCCCTAGGTATTGTAATTGTTCAGACACCTTCCTTTCAAGAATTGTATTTCTATTTTCTATGGGCCAGTGGCTGGCTCAACGCATCGGCAAGGAGTACGCATAACGGCAGATACCATTTCATTTCATGCTTACTTGAGGAAGGGAGACAAAAAAATATAGGATGGTGCACTATCTTATTTTTCAGATTCAGACTCAGATTCTTGTATATTATTCTTACATTATCTTCTAACCACCTAGCCCCTGGATATTAGCCAGAATGCCCAAGCCCTGAAACCCCTTTTCCATGTTTCACTAGTGACAATCCTTCATATCAATCCCAACAATTCACTAAATCCTAATCATGCGCATGTTTCATAAATACGAAAATCAATAAATTCCCCAATCAGATTTCGTATTCCTAAATTCCCCGTGGGGCCCCGACGCCTCTGACAGCATCGAATATCGGTGCAAAGATAGCGAAGTAGAGATCAGCAACAATCAGCCAGACTCGGGCCTCGCTGCAGATCCTAGCTTACGCCCTTAAGGCCCCCGAGGCTCGCAGGGGCCATTGTCTCATTTCACGACGAGGTCGGGGCCATTTGAACATAAGGATCAAGGTGGGTTATTTAGAGATCTGTAAGGTTTTTAGACGACGGTTTGTTGCCATGCACTGATTGGACAAATTAAGTGGTTCTAGGAAATGGAAGGGACTGAAGAGTCAGATGTTATTTATAAATGGGTTTTGTATTTTGAACCAATTTGCAGGCAGATAGATACTAATGATTCCTCCGTAGAGGATCAGAAAAATATACAGAAATGCAAGTGTTCCCTCCCATGGAGACTATCGTCCCGTTGTGCAAAATGGCATGAAGATCATAAAAATTCAGAAAAAGGACGTGGTCATTAAAAGCATGCAAAAAAGCCACGAGAACGCCTTGGTATCGCCAATCTAAAATCGCTCCAGAATGGGTGCACAATCAAAGAAAATCCCGCATATTTTTAGGCATGACGGTAAGGTTCGTAAGCGCTTGACTGCTGGTTGTTGTGGGTCATGGGGATATCATTGTGGTGGGCGGGGGGAGGAGGGTAGGAGGTGCTGTAGCCGTGCTGGGGACCATGGGGCTCCTGGGTACCGAAGGGAGGGTGGGCGGCACCAATGGGCTCATAAGTGTAGGGAGCCTTCTCTGCAGTGACGCTGCCGCGGGTGTTGCGGCGGTCCTTGTGGCTGTAGGGCGAACGGCCGGAGCAGCAGCAGGTGCTGAGCATCCAGAAGCCGGTGGCAGCCAGAGAGAAAGCGACTGCGAGCCAAGTAGCGACGTAGATGTTCTTGCCCAAGCCTACTTCGACACCATAGACCTTGAGGGCTGTGCCGAGGGAGCCCTTTGCGATGGAGAACATGATGGTTGAGGTGAGCGATGCGCCAAGAGTGAAGAGGAACGAAACAATCGAGACAATGGTGGTGACGCAGCTGCCCCAGCGGCTGAAGATGGCGAAGATACCAAGCAGGACCTGGGCGCAGGTAGCAATAAAGGCGACGAGGTAGGCGATGAACATCCACTTGGAGACGGCCTTGTAAACTTTCATGATCTTCTTCATGCTGCTACCAATCTCCTTCTCAAGCTGGGTCTCGCTCACGCCCAGGACCGATGCTGGGTTGAAGTAGAACTGGGCCTTGGGGTCTGTGCAGGAGGAGACGGTATCGGTGGTGTTGGTGGAGTTTCCCTCGCAGTAACCCCAGAGACCAATGTCGTAGAAATCAGCAATGTTGGCATCATCCTGCAACGTCTTGATAGTCGCCGACACCTCCTCTGCAGTGACATCAGTGATACCGGCATCACTGAGGCGATCTGTGATTTCTGATGTAAGTGCCGATCCGGAACTTATGTTTGAGAGGTCAAGCTATAGATTATTGGCATTAGCGGAGGTAGTCATCATGTAAAATCATTGATCACTTACACGAATGAAGTATAAATTGTTCAAAGTAGAAGAACTGGCTTTTGTGCAACCCAATCCCACCATAATGATGCAGATCAGTGACGCGATGGTCAAGACATAGGGCGTGAAGATACACGCAACGCGACCGGCTTTTCCCATAATGAATAATGTGTTTTGATGGAAAAGATAGGAATATAGATGAAGAGGTGAAAGATGGATGAGAAGTGGAGAGCTGAGACTGGGGGGGGGGGAAGACTTTAATATTAACCCATCCAGTAGAGTAAACAGTACAACCTTGGTAACACACAGCCTCAAACTAAAAAGAAACTCCAGCCTCCCATGGAAGGAGGCGCAGGATCAGCGGACCAATCAGTGGTTGAGCGGTCACGTCGCCAGGGCCACGTTTGCTTCTATTTGAAGCCTGCGCTAGTCCTATTTGGGTCTAGCGGCATGATCCTTCTTCCTGTTTATCCCTACGAAGTACATCCACACAAATCAACACAGTCAGATCAGTCAGAAGAACGAAAATTTGCAGATATAAATTTGTTTATATGCAGGTCATATTCACTTAAGCATTATAAGCTCATTTCATTATCCTAAATATTTTAAATCAACATATATAATGGTATACATGCAAAATTCAATCTATCAAACTCCGTCATATCCATGTTCTGACCGCCCCAAGATCCACATTCCAGTTGCCAAAATAGGTGATCCCCCAATCCGAGCCTCGTCACCCTTTTTACTCTGATCAGCCTTGTGGGTCATTTTCAAATTTTCCCTCTCCGCCTCAAGACTGCGTAAGCCTGGGTATGGAGTAGTACCGTTGTTCAGGATAGATGCCAGGCTCCTCTGTTTTTCTCTTGGCATTATCTTTCGTAATCCGCCCTGGCCTTCCTGCGCCATTCCACTCGCACTCCGCTGTCTCTGCGCAGGGCAACATCCACTAATGGTGATGCCTTGTTCTATATTTATTATTTTCAGATAAACATCTCCGAATCTGGGATAACTCCCCGCTAACGAACCTAACTTTTATTGCGCAGCTTAAATGTTCTGAAATCTTTTCAAGCAAATCCATGCGCTGATCGACCACACCTCTCATATGGCCATCGTTGGAAATACTAGCCTTTTTTTTTCTATATTGTAGGAAAAGCATGCATCTATCACACCATTTATTTTCTAAATATTGCAGTAATCGAAGTTGATAACTCACATGCTACATATAGATTACATGTTTATTTTCGCCTCAATGGAGATGGTTTACTCCAAGTAGGGCTCAAGCGTCGACAACATACCCGTGTACGCGACCCCAGTGGGAGGCTCCATGCTAAAGATATAATCACCCCACCAAGGACCAGCACCCCACCACAATGCCCCGAGCCAGACATCCGAGTTGTCACCCAGATAATCAAGCATGCCAGTAATCGCCGTCTTGCAATTATCATTCACACCACCAGCAAACTCGCCTATAACACCAACCTTTTTGTTATCCTTCAGCCACTGCGTCGCATCCGTCACGCGCTCTTTCCCGATCGTCGTCGACACACATGTCGCACTCGTGCCCGATCCATCCGAGTCGAGGTACTGGTGCATCTCGTAGACGATCTTGTTTTGGGGATCGGTGAGCGCCTTCAAGTTATCGTTCACTGTGGTCCAGGTCCATGCGCCGGTGTAGGAGTTGCCCTCGACGAAGATATATTGACTTGTTGCCCCCGCTTCGCGGATGCCGTCAATGGCTGCCTGGTTGAGCTTTAGGACGAGGTCTTGGTCCATGTCGTGGAACTCATTGTCTGTGCATGACTTTGTTAACAGAAGGCCTGTGATGGACTCAAGGTTTGGAGGTACTGACTTGTGTCGAAAATGACTAGCTCGTTTGAAACGAACTTGCCTGCGACGTTCTTCCAGAATGTTTGGAAGTCGGAGGCAGTTGAAATGATCTGGCCGTTGCTGTGTATACTTGTAAGCTTCGATTCGTTCGCTCGCTAATCTGGTAGAACACTTACTATCTTCCATAGTTATGCGGATCAAGCACCGCGTGGGATCCTGCATCAGTGATGGCTTTAACCGTCTGCCACTACATCAGTATCCTCTTGTTCCCCTTTGGGTAGATATAGCACAACATACCGCGGTCAGGTTGCTTAGATAGGCAGCGTCAAATTCTCCTGTGATGGAGTTCGGTACCAGCCGTTCCATCTTGAATGCCACACGGAAGATGTTCATTCCTTTTTCCTTCAGTGTTTGGATGGCGCTAGCATCGGGGAAGGTATAATCGGTTCCCTATCACGATCTTCAGTTGATATCCTCGGAAGACATATTTGATCCGCTCACGTAGACACCAGGAAGGTTGTTCTCGCCAAATTCAGCTCCGGATTCGCTTGCTCCGAACCCTATACAAGGAATTTAGTCAATGAATGGCCAGAAACATATTTGAATTCATGGACTCAAACATTTGAAGGGCGAAGCTCTCTTTGCATGGTTCTTGGCAGGAGAGGGAGCCGCTGCTACGGATCCAGCCACAGCAGCGAGGAGAGCAATCTGATCGAATCTCATATTGACGAGTCAATCTTTTTGTTGTATGGGATAAATGGCTAAGTTCAGAGAGGAAGAGGAATGATGTGATAGCAATGCAAAATGATACCAAATGCCGGGGCGAACTTGAGCATTTTATAGTTCTCCTGTCAGTGAATTAATGAATATCCTTGAATAATTGGCATGATATCTCAAAGTACCATCACACTGAAATTAAAGATCGGCGACAGAAAAGGACACGGAATTTTCATGAATCTTCAATCCTTGAGACTATGTTGTAGAGTAGGAAGCATTTTCGGATATTGCAGTGCATAGCAGCAATGATCCATCACCAATGAGGACCCACAGAATGATGGATCATGGCTAGAAACGGCCCTTCTTGGCCACCTTATGCGAAACGGATAGCCAAAAAGGCAATATCCCGGAGTCTTCGGGCTAGAAGAAGCCAGATCCGCGTCCAAGGGAACCTGGAATTATCCATTGTACATCGTACATACCCCGCTTCAGTGAAGCTTTCTTCAGGCACAGGTGGCTTAAATATGCATCGCTGTGTTTTGAGCGCATCGATATTTTACAAGCCCGTGACACTTCAGGTATCGATCGGCGTCCATAGTCTCTTACATGCAGGGGTGGTGGAGTGTGACATCCGTGAATAATTCGGTGTATTTAACCATTTTTTACTAATCCAAGAACAAATTTGTTTTAGAATATACGCTGTAAGAATCCCTGCTTATGCATAGAAAAGTCTCTTGCATAAAGGGTGCTTTTTTTGACCACCTTCACATATATCTAAAAAGACATTTAAAAAGACATCACAAGGCCGCAAATGCGGCCGACTATCCTTGTTATTTATGGAGACATAAAACCAGCTATGTGAGGCAAGTAGGCGTGGCAAATTGATTGCAAGCTGAAACAGGAACCGTCGCGCTCAAAAATCTTGACACTCAAAACAAATAGGCCACATGTGCAGCTTATACATAAGCATTTGAGACTTGAACCTTACCAATCTTAGTCCGGTGGATACTCCTTCCCCGGACCATCCGAATCAGTCTACCAAGGACCGAGAGAGTGCATGTGCTCTTTCATATCCGCTGCCTGCAGCTTGTGGTAAGCGTAACCTGGGTGGTAGTCATTCCACCAGACACAGGTAGCACCATCGTCATTGATGCAACTGGCATCGGTGAATCCATATGTTGTAGGGGCATCGAGAACTTTACTCATGAAGGTGAAGGTATCGTAGAGAACGGTTGTAGTCTGCAGCTAGGTTAGTCGTACAAAATCATACATATAATCAGAGACCAGAACGTACGCCATTGTTGTCAGCAATGAATTCGGTGACCATTGTTTCGAGGGCAGCGTTGAAAGCCGCAAGCCACTTAGCGTGGCCGGCCGCAACGGTTGTCCCTTGATTGGCGATCTGGGGAGAACGGCTTACAGGTGGCACATTGAGGAAGATGAACTTCCGTCCACCATTTGCGTAGAGCTTTTCAGCTTGAGCCTTGTACTGGACCATGATCTTTGGAATCAGGACACTGGCGTCGTTGCTTGACCAAGCCCAACCAATGCTGTGAATTTAACAGTCAGTCTAGTCGCTAACGGGGATCCAGGAGGGCATACTCATTGATTCCAATCCAGAATCCAAAGACGGTATTTTTTGAAGTCCACGGCGCAGTATCAGGCTTCTGACTATATATCGTCTCGAAGCTGGCGACTTGTGTTACCATATCTTCCTTGGTATTGGTAGAGACAAGGGAATTGTCAAGGGACGCTCCTCCAACAGCAAGGTTATAGCTGAGAACTGTTGAGGCATTGTTCACAGTAGTTAGGTATCCCACCCAATTGACGCCACCAGTGGTTGTTCCGGTGCCTGTTGTTTTTAATCAGTCAAGCCTGGTTGCTAGGAGCCGAATAAAACCCACCTAGTGCTGGGTTTCCCATCGGGTTGCCAGCAGTTGGCTGCGTGCCATTGACATCGAAACTGGTCATGGTGTAGGAATTGCCACTGCGGTGCTTTTTAGCATCTTTCCCAACAGGCGACGACTAGATGACACAATATATCACTCACAATGTAAAGAAATAGCTGTTGGCAGGGCGAGCTTGCAAGGGAGCAGCAGCAGCCAGCCCAGCACTGGTGATCACACTAATGAGATGCTTCATAATGAGGAAGATATAAAATGCTTAGTAGTCTGTTGGAAGAAAATATTTCCACGTTCATAATTCTTTCCTTATATATATGTACTCATCACTTCAAAGGTTTCTTTCGTCTTACTTATGCTCCAAATAAATAAGCCCAAGAGCCGAGACGAATTAATTAGGAAACGCGAGAGTATGTCATTTAATTAAGTAGTTTTGTCAATCATTTCCTCAAATGGGGCCGTCCCGACTCATCCATATTGGGACAAAATACGGCGAACTCCCCGAAACTGCGGGGTATAGAGTAGTATTGGAATAATCAAGCTATTTCAGAAGAGCTGAGTAGTTCGTTGGAGCTGACGAATACTCCAAGTTACTATATTGTTTAGTCGTATGGTTTTCCTATATTGAATATGGATCCGTCATGCAGCTAGAACGCATGCCCTAATCTGGTTCGGTCTTCCTCTTACCCGAGTAGTTCGCTACTATGTTCCTCTTGTCCGGTTGATTACTATCGTCATCTCTATTTCCCTAGTCTCGCACAATGTAGTCTCGTATGGTATCATCTATGTTCATATTGTTGTATTGACGTCTTATCTACAGCCGACATCGAATCGGTATCACACAGGTAATGCTCGATCCGATTCGGCAGCAAACATCTCCATGCCCACACCGCACACAACCAATCGCGATTGATTGATTTCCGACCCAGGTACTTGGCTCACTGCTGGGACGCTATTCCCAGGCCCATGGACAAGTCCCAATGATGATATGTCAGCCACAGCGCTGTATGTATCTAGTACGAATCCCACGATAATCCCCTGCGTACCAGGTTGTGTAGGGTCCACGGTGATTGACCAGACTTTGACTCGGTGGTCGTTGCCAGAGGATGCCACTGTGATTTTAATAGATTCTGCGTTTGATGTAACATCACGAGAGATTTGTTGGTTGAGGATTTTGACCGTGGTAACTGCCGCAGCGTGTGCATCAGGGATAGAGACCGTAGCTACCTGTGCATTTGTGCCATTGTCTGATGGATGTGTTCGTAGGAGGGACACGGAGAGAGAGTTATCATCGCCTCCAGCCACAATGACAGTGGCTGTATCAGAGATAGGAACCAGTTCCATCCCCTTGATGCTGTTGGAATGAATCTGATATCGATTTTCGCATGTGATGTTTTCTGGTGAGATGGAAGAGCCGTCGAAGGGGTGCTTGGCCTTCAAAATGGATTGTGTGATTGTGTAAAATGGTTCAAGTGTGCTTGTTAGATCCCATAGTGTGAAGTAGCCATCAGTTGCTGCGGTGATAAGGCTCACGGACGAGCTCATGACCAAGAAGTGGGCTTGAGTCAAACAATTAGTCATGTATTTACCACGAGCCAGCAGAGTGAATTGGCCCCCGTTAGATGCCGAAAAGTGGAATATCTGCAAGAAGGTTAGTATTGGCCGACGGGGTTGGAGGAAAGGGCCACCCTTACCTTGAAAACAGAGTTGGAAAGAGCAAGGCACAGGAGGAAACCCTGCTCTCCATCAACTTCCTCCACTTCCAGTAAATCGAAACTAAGTATCCGGAGATCTGAGTTCACGTCGTCCTTCGGGCTAGCAGCCATCAATTTCGTGGCAACCCCGAATATGGGAATAGTGCGGACTCTCCACACGAAAAACTCTTCGTATGCAGCACTGGTGAACAGGTATCTTCCATCCTTGGACCAGGTCACCTGCTGAATCCCAGACCTATGTGTATCTAAGACGCGTAGACACTCAAAGCTACCCCACGGACTAGCAGCTAATGAGGATGTCGGCGTGAAAAGACGAACAGTAGTATCCTCTGCACCAGTTGCAAACAGAGGTCGATCTCCATCGGTAGGGTTGAAAACATCCATCGCTTTGATTTCCCGTCCGTGACCTCCAGCTCGAAGCAAAGTACTAGCACCAGCTCGTACGCGAGTAGTCATGAAAGAGACTCCGTCTTTCCAAGTGAAGACAGCATTGTTATTGATGTCTCCTGGAATGAAGCCCCAGCCTCGGCGAAAGCCGCCTGAAGCAATGGATACGACATCCGTCAGCTTCGACTCATTTCGCAGGACGAAATCTTGGGATCTGAATCCGTACAACATGAAATCACCAGTCGCTTTATCGAAATAGGCACCTTCGATGTTACCACCGGTCATAGATGCTGTACGGTGCACTGTTTGTAACGATATAGCATCTGTTCCGTTCCCACAAAGCTGCAATTCATGGAGACAATAAGTTCCGTCTCGGCCACAGGTCAATACAAAGTCCGATTTTATGGTATCACTCGTGGTAGCGGATGTCACGACGCTAATGTGATTAACGAAATCCCGGCCATGAACACGTCGGTTGATCAATACGGGCTCAGCCTTGGAAGTATTGTATATAGCAAGAGCGCCTAATTTTGATCCTATAATCAAAAATTGGCCATCGAAGATAAAAGACGCACAGCAAACCACAAACGATGATGGTAGGCTGAAGGTAGTTGTTTCGGAATTTGGATGATCGCTGTTCCAGTCGGAGACAGTGACGAGTGTTATCTCTTCTCCGGTAGGATAACAGACAAGGAAGCTTATTGTTTTGGAAAAATTCAGTGTATCCATCCTAGAAGAATGAGTCTGAAGGAAGAATAATCCAAGGAGTCTGTTGCCAACGTCTGTGATGTTAATGACAGATTTCGTAGTGTGATTATAGAGTCGAATGAATCCTCGGCAATTCCCGATCAATGCTAGGCCCATTTGGGGCAAGGTAGTCAGGGCGGCAAAAGAAGCAAGGTCAGGTGTTTCACATATTGTCTCCCAGGTAATGGCAGTCTCCTCTGCTTGGTTGAGATATCCAAGCTGGATCTGACCTTGTGTAGAGGTGCGAAGAAGGCAGTCTTGGGTGACAAATGCAAAGGCTTTCGACCCATCAGCCGCGGGATTCTGCTTCGCCTTTACTTGCAAGCTAGACGATTTCTGGAAAGAAGAAGTAGGACCATTGTCCAAATATTCATCGTCATGCTCTTTGATGGGGAAACTTTTCAGTGCACCATCGGCACCTCCGGTGTAAACCACGGTCTCAGAGCCAACTCTGCAAAGATCCAGAGACCAAATGTGCTTTCCAATATGTGTTTGTATTGAAGAAGTCCGCCTGAGCTGATACTCAGTCGTCCCGTTGGATGATGAGTGCCAGCTTAAGTCCCACAAAACGCATGTGCAATCCTCTCCACGAGAAACCAACCCCATATGAGTTTGGTGATTATTTTCGATGGCCCTGAAATGGATACCCCAAATCCGAGATGTGTGCGCAAATTCTTGGACCACACATGACTCGGATCCAACGCTATCCTCGCCTGCCTCAACAGGACCAAAGCCCGTGCTTCGCAATTCAAACCCGTCTGTGGAGTAGGCAGAAGGATCTTGGGCTGTTTTGTGCTCACAATCTGATATATCCCAAATTCTCACAGTTCTATCGTCACTGCAGCTAGCTAGTATCCTACCAGACTGACCTCCATTCAAGGACGGGATCTGAGGAGAGATGCGGACATCGAATATTGATCCGTCATGGCCCGTGAAGAAATGGTGGATGGAGCCGATTGCATTAGTTTTGTGTGATCCAGTTTTATTTAAGAAACACGACCATACAATGATTTCTCCGAAGACAGTACCAGCGGCAATGAGGACATGGGAGGAAGACAGGGCAATCACATCGGCAGAGTAAAGGATAGACTTTACACTTGTCGCCAGCTGATATATGGATATGGTCGTGTTTCTCCCGGGTAGCTCACTACTGAGCACTTCGAGACTTAGGAGCGCATTGTTCGCGGTGATAAAAAATGCCCCGTAATGGCCACCTGCAGCAGCTGCACACCCACTCATGATCCAATCTGGAGCAGAGAACTCGGCACTAGAGGTCGACAGCATGACTTCATTCTCAGAGGCCAAAAAGAGGTCGACCGCTCGCACCGAGCGACCACCCCAGACTATTATTTGGACATGGCTCGAATCATGATCCTGTGGCCGTTTATTCAAAGTAATGAAACCATGAATATTGTTTCTTTTGAATATCTGGACTTGAGTGGCGACAACACCAGTGGTTTCATCAACCACCCGAAAGAGCGTGCCTTGACTTTGGAAGATGAATCGTCTATCACCCAATACAAACGTCTTCAACGCTGTTATCGGGAGAAAAGCATCAATATGCTGCAATTTGAGTCAGCGGGACAGCCTTTTAACTACAGATATAGCAACACTGACCTCGAGTGATAAAGACATTGCCAGCTTCTACGCACATTAAGCAGAGAAGCAAATTACACGGAATATCTCAATTGCCCCAGATAAAAGTGTACATCCCACCAGACGCTAAAAAAAGCCCACTACTTTTTCGATGATTTCCCCGATGTGCTTACATAACGCTTCCACTAGACCACAAGCGGTAGTTAATATTACGCACGTGATCTCGTGATCGAAGCGCGGGAGCGGAATGACGCTTGGGCTCGGTACTCACGTCACCTACCTGAGAAGTCCTAGTACGCTAATTAGCAACCTCCAAACACCTCTCTGGCTACATGTGGATTCTGCTCTAAAATGCCAGACCTTCCTGATACAGACTCATGATCTGATACCCCTTTGACTAGCCATGGGTGTCACCGGCCTCTGGACGGTCGTGCAGCCCTGCGCTCGCCCCATCAAACTAGAAACGCTCAACAAGAAACGACTAGCAGTCGACGCGTCAATCTGGATCTATCAATTCCTGAAAGCGGTGCGAGACAAAGAAGGCAATGCGCTCCGAAATTCTCACATCGTTGGATTCTTTCGCCGCATATGCAAGTTGCTATATTTTGGGATTCGGCCCGTCTTCGTATTCGATGGCGGGGCCCCGGTCATGAAAAGGCAGACAATCGCTGGCCGAAAGAAGAAACGTGAGGGCCATAGGGAAGATGCCGCGAGGACCGCGGGGAAATTGCTTGCCGTACAAATGCAACGCAGTGCAGAGGAGGAGGACGCTCGTCGTCGCAATAAGAGCCAGAGACAAGAGGAGGAAGAGGTCCCAGATGCTCCAGTATATGCAGAAGAGGCCTTTATGACGGAGACAGAAAAACAACAAAGTCGCAAGTTCAAGAAGAAGGATGCGTACCACCTACCTAACCTAGATGTCTCGCTTCAAGATATGGGAGCACCAAACGATCCACGCATCATGTCCCAAGAAGAACTGGAGGAGTATGCTAGACATTTCCACCAGGGTCAAGATATCAACCTTTACGACTTTTCCAAAATCGACTTCGACAGCATGTTTTTCCTTAGTCTGCCCCCCACTGATCGCTACAACATCTTGAATGCAGCGCGGCTAAGAAGCCGACTTCGAATGGGTTATTCGAAAGAACAGCTAGATACCATGTTTCCCGACCGCATGGCATTCTCGAGGTTTCAAATCGACCGTGTTGCAGAACGTAATGACCTTACGCAACGATTAATGAATATAAACGGCATGAACGGAGAGGAAGCATTCTACAAATCTGGGCAGCGCATCGCAGGAGAACGTGGCAGGGAATACGTGCTTGTCAAGGATAGCGAACATGAAGGTGGCTGGGTCTTAGGTGTTGTGGGAAACAGGGAAGGCCACGAAGAAAAGCCCATCGATCTAGATCGACCTGAGATACTGTCTGATGAGGATGAGGTGTCGGACGAAGATGAGTTTGAGGATGTTCCAATCGAAGGTCTGAACCGACTTCCCAAACTTCCTTTCCTTCAAGAGGGTGTATTCGACCAGTCGCTTCAACTTGAAACGGACGAAAATTTAGACATGAGAAGGGCTATACAAGAATCGCGTCATACTGCACGGCGACAGTCAGTGAATGAACATCGTGTACAAGAGATTGAAGATGACTCGCTTTTTGTTCAAGCCGAGGGAAATATTGGCGCACAGCAGCAGAACGACGACACTGATGAATTCTTTGATGGCGACGACGATGACCTTGAACGAGCTATCGCTCTTTCATTGCAACCAGATACAGCCGATGACGAAGATATGCCCGATATTCCCATTCGTCGACCGGTCATATCAGCTCCATCTTATGAGATGGTGCCAGATATTGAGTCTGAGAGTGATGATGGAATGGACTTTGCTGCTGCCATAGCAAGAACAAAGGTCTCGAAGAAAGCCCCATATGCACCAAATCCATTCGGCGGTCCTCTCCCTTTTGAATCTATCAAACTCACCAAAGTCACGAAAGATAACGATAAAGCTGGCGAGGTTGGTGAAAACGCTGGGGGTTTTGTGAAGGAGCCTACAAAGAAATCAAAACAGGCGGACCCACTTCCTCCATGGTTTGTTGGTGAGCGCTCGGATGCAGGATTCATCGTTGATCCCATTGAAGGTCCTGAGAAGGATGATGAGCAATCTGCAGCACCAGACCATATGTTCCTCTCCAATCGTCGCTCGCCGGACATTATCGATGTTGACGAAGTATCTGCCACCAAGGAAGTCATTGATTTAGAGGAGGAGGCGGAGGAGGAGGAGAAGGAGGAAGAGAAACCCAAACAAGTCTTTCAAGTGGAGGACATTGAAAAGATTTACAATGAGCTTTCTACAAATTCGGATGAGAAGCCTTTGAGCGAACCAGCTCTGGCCCCGATCAATAAAAGTGTTGATGAGCCATCCGCACGCACCGGACATTCTCCTTCGCCAGAATTTGAAGATGTTGTCCCTCAGCTGCCCACCCTAGGTCCCGAAATCACTGTTGTGTCCCATCAAAACGCCCAGGCCCAGCCTCAGCTCTTTGAAGAGATCAACCGAGTGGAAGATTTTGTGCAGGACCAAGCCGACTACAGTGACCCGGAGGATGAAGAGCTGTTCAAGCAGCTTGCCGCTGAGGGCGAGGAGCACGTGCGATTTGCAAATACTCTTAATTCTGCTGCTCCTAACCAGGAAGCCTTTGACTACGAGCAAGAACTAAAGCAACTACGATCTCAGCAAAGAAATGAGCGTCGTGATGCAGACGAAGTGACTACTATTATGATCAATGAGTGTCAACAGCTCTTGACGCTCTTCGGATTGCCCTATATCACCGCGCCTATGGAAGCTGAAGCGCAGTGCGCCAAATTAGTTTCGCTAGGCCTTGTGGACGGGATTGTCACGGATGACAGCGATATCTTCCTCTTCGGGGGTACGCGAGTATACAAAAACATGTTCAATCAAAGTAAATTCGTCGAGTGCTACTTGACGTCTGACCTGGAGAAAGAGTACGCCCTTCATCGGCAGAAGCTTATTAGCTTTGCCCATCTCTTGGGCAGCGATTACACAGAGGGCATTCCCGGGATTGGTCCTGTCACAGCTCTAGAGATACTCACCGAGTTTTCGAACCTCGAAGAGTTCCGCGATTGGTGGTCTGAATTGCAAATGGGTACAAATAATGTACAAGATACTCACCTTGCCTTCCGGAAGAAATTCCGCAAGAAGGCATCCAAGATATTCCTGCCACCTTCATTCCCTGATACCAAAGTTGACGAGGCATACCTGGAACCCGCAGTTGACGACGACCCTTCTCAATTCCAATGGGGTGTTCCTGATTTAAATGGGTTACGGGCCTTCCTTATGACCACAATTGGCTGGAGCCAAGAGCGGACTGATGAAGTCCTGGTACCGGTCATTCGTGACATGAATCGGCGAGACCAGGAAGGCACACAGTCCAATATCACACAATTCATGCAAGGTCCACAAGGAGCAGGTGCATTTGCGCCGCGTGTTCGTACAGGCGGACCCAGCCGCATGGAAAAGGCATTTAGTCGACTACGTCAGGAAGCTCAAACAGGCGGAACCTCGCTGGATCGTGAGCAAGCTATTGCGGATGAAGAGGGTGAAGAGGCCTCTGTTTCACAAAAGAAAGGAAAAAGAGGTGGCTCAACCACCAAGACCAAGGCCGGCACGAATAAGAAACGAAAGACCCGTCGCGCCAACTCTTCCGAACCATGATATGTGGATCAGAGGATTTGGGATTTCGTATCGGCAGCATACTATGTACATAAATAGACACAGATATTCATCCTCGGTATTTACTAAACCTTCAATCCATACACAAAAATATAACCTTGGCGTCGTACTTGAAGACATTATGTAGGTACGTGAGGAGGTGAGAAGCAAGATGACCGGCTTCTTCCGATACACTACCAACTGGTCTACTGAGGATTTCTCAAACAGATGGACAATGAAAGGACAAACTTCTGTCTGAACTAAGAAAGTTGGATACCTTGAACCCCCTTGTTCTGCCATCTTCCATCTTCCGTCTTCTACATGCATCTACTATCTCTTTTGTTTTCCACACAACTGAGCCTTCCCTTCTCCTCTTTACCGCCTATATTTTTATCATGTCATCTTCAATGATAGCTCCAGGTTAGATGCTTGTGGAGATAGGTTACAGCTACAACAACCTACGTGTCCCTACTGACATTCTCGTTCTGCCTGGTCTGCCCAATACTCTGGCACTGTCAAGGCCTGACCCATGTTGGCAGGCCCTTGCTCGTTGTGGTTTCTGTATAGCCCTGAGAGTCTATATCATTGTGTGGAGGGCAAGTGGGCAACCTCGGAAGCCAACGACTTCCTTTCCTTAGTCCTATGGACCTAGCCACTAGTTTTTCAGGCAGCCATTTGGATGGAGGAACCGACCTGCTCATCTACACCGTTCTTGATGTATGTTTGCTTCAAAGGCTTTTTGATCATTTATTAATGTACTAATAGTCGTACTAGCTTCCAAGGTTACCGGGCAGATTGCCCGCTATATGTGGAACCAGAATGTCACATGCCTTCCTATCTATGTACGTATAGGAAAACCGTCGAGATCCAAGGACTGCGTTGCAAGCCCTTCTGAATGAACGCTTGGTCGATCAGTCAATTCATGCTCTCGAGTTCAACACCATGGGCTTGTAGCCGATATCTTTGGCGAACCACAAGTTCTTCATTATCATCAATCTCCCTCTGTCATCATGGTCTTGCCTTGGTTTTCAATCCATTCTTCCACACTTCTTATTATGTGTAAGGTACAAACCATATATTGTAGGCCCTAGTGGGTGGAATCAAAAGCCGAGACCACATGGGCTTCCCCACGAACAGGAGTTCTACGATCTCCGCGATCAGCGATCAGTGGAACTGGGGCGCCAATGGTAATTTTGTATAGTACGTAGCTAGGTACTACTTGCATACAGTCTCAATATCAAAAAGGGGCATAGATATCCAAGCCTCAGAAGGGGAATCCAGGCACTCATGGTTACTGTCAAATGCA